GGAGGGGGAGAAACATCGATATGTCATCCATTGGTTGCCTCCTGCGCTTGCCTGGGGCCAGGGATGAACCTGCAACCCAGGTACATGCCCTTGACTGGGATCGAACCCGGGACCCTTCGGTAGGCCGACACTCTAACCACTGAGCTCAGTATTTTTAACGTGGTTGCTAGATAAATGTAAAACTAAGTATGTGGGACTGAGTTATTTTTCCACTGGTCGCGGGTGGGAGCAGAAAGAGTGGGTGCGGAGGCACCAGGAGTCTTCCTGGCAGGGGGCAACGGTGGCCTGCCCAGGAGTGTGGTTGGAGATAAGTTTATAGAATTATTATGAAGTCACGAGTCACGTCAGTGTATTTTCACGGCCCCGTGAAATATGCGGGGAAACGTGGCCTAGAGAGCTGAGTGGCAGTGATCAGGCTCGAACGTTTATTTACAGTGTGGTCGACCTGACACACCTCCCAGCGGCCCTGGAGGAACCGAGGGCGGGATTCGAACCGTGTAGACAGCCAGAGCCCGGGTCCCATCGCCGCGTTACTGCCGCTCCATCTCCCCTCAGGGGTGAGTCAAACGTTCACAACTTTCACAACGGACTCTGCGGCTGCTGGGCCTGAAGGGCCAAGGACCCCTCCGAGAAGCTCCCGTTAACTCTCACCTGCTGACCGGTGCCAAAACTGCAAACACCCCTCCTTTGTCTTCACACCAACTCAACAGCGCCAGCGGCCGACTTCCGCTTCTTTCCCACGAATTCCCAGCCAAATCTTCCTTTCCTCCCGCCCCCTGAGGCTAACTCAGCCAATAATCTCTCACAGAATCTGCCAATCACCGCGGACTAGAGCACCGCCCTTTCCGCCCTCTTAAGCGAGCGTCGCGCGCCACCGCTCGGCAGTTGGCGGCGCTGCTCCCCCTGGGATGAGTCTCCCGGAAGGGCTAGGCGAAGGGCGGGCCACAGCGGTGCGGGAACCCTCGGGATTGGTCGACAGGAACCCCGCGCTCTGACTGAGGCTACACCTGCCTTCGATATTTAAGTCTGAGACGCTGGGGATTGGTTCCCCGCGGAAACCCAAAGAAGCCAAGAGGTGGTGCGGCCTCCCTTGTACAGCCTGGAGAGGGAGCTCCGACGATTGGTCCGGGGAGTCTCGGCGCGCACCGCCGGGCGCTCCAGGATTGGCTAAGGGGGTGCTCACGCCGCCCGGGAGCGTTTACGGTGATTGGTCGGAGGGTGCTGCCGGCTATTTGAAGGAGGCGCGCGGACGGTATACGCACTTCAGTACGCGGACAGAAGCTGGAGGTTCGGTGCCTAACGCTGTTCCGCTGACCCCATAGGACTCAGACGTGGGCTCGGCCCCAGCCACGGCCGGACGAGGGGATGGCCAAGGTATCGGTGCTGAACGTGGCTGTGCTGGAGAATCCGAGCCCTTTCCACAGCCCCTTCCGGTTCGAGATCAGCTTCGAGTGCAATGAGGCTCTGGCGGACGGTGAGGCTGGGCCTGTGTGGACACTGCCCCCCTCCCCCCGGGTCACCTGGCCAACCCCACTTTCCCGTAGAGACCCTCGCGGCCGACCTCGACCTCCCCTGTGAAATAGCTCCCCAGATTACGATTTCACCCCCTCCCTCTCCTCCAGCCCCAACCTCCGCGTGGAGGCTATCTCCTACCCCCACATCACTGCCTACCTTACCCCTTCCCCACTGATATTCCTATTTTACACGGTGGAGACCTCATCATCCTCCCCCCTAAAACACTTTTTCCTGTGGAGCTCCTGTGCTCCCATTTTCTATGTGGAGACCTGCTCAGCCCCTATTCTTTAACCTGTGGAGACCCTCAGCCACCCCATCTTATATTTCTGTAGAGAAGGTTTTTTATATTAACGTTACAGCCACTCAGTCTTCCCCACCCATCCCCCTACCTCACTTTTTTCCTAGGGAGACTCCAGTTCCCAGCACCCTCCCATTTCCCCTATGGAAACCTTAGCCATCTCTCCAAGCTCCCTTCCAATTTTCCCAGTGGAACCCCTCCTACCACCCCTTTTCCCTGTGAAGAAAGACCCTTACCACTGCGGCAAGACCTCACTCATCCCCATCTCCCCATTTGTTATACAGTAATCCCCAACCTGCTTATATTTTCTTGTTTTCTATCCCAAAGCACATACCCTAGGACCTGGCTCTAACCCTTTACTTTTGAGCTCTACCTGGGGGGGCATAGCCTGGCTTCCAGCTTCAGTCTTTGAAGATAACTTGGTCTCCCCAGCTCTCATTCTTCTCTCTTCCCTGACTGTGGGCTTCAGTGAACACCCACATTTGAGGAATGGGCTAGCCAGGCAAGCATTAGCCAGTTCCCACTGTTTGCCAACTAGGTTCCATCTGATCTACTGCCGCAATTCTTTTAGTACTTTTGGTGGTCTCACCTAGTTTGGAGGGTTAGGCTGGGCTGAGCCATGTTGGTATCCAGCTTCTAACAATCAGCTGGGAGGTCACAACCTTTTGGGCATCTTTTCCAAGGTGCTTTCACAGATGTACTTATTCATCTTTGTGACATAATGGTAGACATGGCTCTCATCTCATGGATGAGAAGATGGAAGCCACAAAGAATGAAAGACCTTTCAAGGAAAGGTCTGTAAAAATGTTAAGGTCATCCAGGGAGTCTTGACACCACTTTTAGGAGGAAATACAGGCATATCTCCGTTTTATTGCACTTCACAGATGTTATGTTTTTTACAAATTGAAGGTAAGACTCTCACCAGGAAAAGGATCACTACTCACTTTATTGTGGTGGGGTGGAACTGAACCCACAGTATCTCTGAGGTACGACTGTACCTCCATCACACCACTTCTCCACTTGGTGGTTTAAAAGAGAAGAGGCAGCAGCTGAGGAGGTGGAGATTTGTGAAGCCAGGGTAGGCTGCTTGCAAAACCAGCCACATACATTAGCTTAGAATTGATACAATTGGAGATGTTGGTGTGCTTGGGCTGGGCCAATGGATCAGCCTCTCCCTGGTTTTTCTTTTTAAGTTGTCTCATCTACTTGTGGCTAACTATAGAATAAGTCCAGTTAAATCCTTTCTGTAACAAGGCAGGGTGTAAATAAATTAAGTGTAGAATGTCACTATGGAATAAGATTTAATTTCAAAGCCAGGAGGAGATGTAAGGAGGTAATAGGTTAAGGGATTCACAGTTCCCAGATGGCAAGAGATCAGGTTTTAATTAGCCTGTTAGTAAGTGGTTGTGTGGTCATTACATAGTACTTTTATTTCTAGGAAGCCCCTGCCCTGTTACTTTAACCTCTTTATAGAATCAGAGTTGAGGTCCAAAGTCAACCTGCTGGTCATATTTTAATAGAAACAGAATGACTTCTCCAAGGTCACACAGCTAGTTGGTAGAATTATTGACACTAGGGCCTGAGTTCTGAGTTCTGAGTCCAGGGTTCTTTATTTTTGCTAAAACCTGGGAGAGAAAAAATGCATCCTCTATTTTAGAAGTGGAACATAAATAGAACTGGTCATAGAATTTATTTCCGTATCAGGACTCTCAAAAGAGAGCGAAGTGGGTATTAATTACACCCTGACAATAAAGCTTTTGCCCAGAGAAACTCAAGTTGGAAAGCAAACTCTGGCCTGGAAATCCAGACTCTGGTTCTTACCCTTAGGGCTCTCTGAAGCTCTAACCTGTCAGCTTGCTTCCTGCCTCTTCCCACAGAACAGAAAGAATTTGATTATTGCCTGCCTCCCAAAAGATGGAGTGGGCCAGACTTTAGAAGTCTCAGATCCTGGGGAAATCTCAGTCTTGTTACCTCGACAGTAGCAACTGCAAATCTGACAAGACACCTAAACCCCAGTCAGTCAGCTGACCTCATTTCCCAAGGACTCCAAACCCCTTTTGCTCTCTTTTGTCCTCAACATCTGGAAATACATGCTTCCAAAACATGGGTCCACATTTAACACATTAGATTTGCCCCCCTTTAGTTGAGAAATTCAGCAGGCACTGCTTGTATAAGTCATGGGGTCAGATGATCTGACCCACAGTTGTGGTCAGGCCAAGGTTCATCTGTATGATTATGAACAAAAATAATATGACAGAAAAAGGCCGAATAGATACTTTTCTTTTAAAGTCAGGAAACAGGTTCCTCAGTAATTTCAACAACACTTATCTTTTATCATGCTGTTGGTTTTGGTTTTGTTTTCATACATAGTGGAGAAGCATCTTGTGCAGTGGTTAGATCATAAAGTTAGGGTATAAAGACAAAATGTAATGCAGTCGAGCTATCTTTGAAATTGCTCCGAAGGTTAAGTACCATGTTACATGTATATAATAGTGTCCTGTATTTAATAGGAGTGAGCTTGTGCTAAATTGGTGGCTGATATTCCATATATAATTCTAAAGAGGGGTTATATTAAAAAACGAAGCCACTTAACTATGCTTCAGCTTAAAACACTTCAAGACGATCCCGATTTGTAGGTCCTTATCTTTTGTCTTCTCTAAATGATTTTATCAGCTCCTCCAACTCTTGAGCCAGTATTTCTTTGGTCCCCCATTAATTCTCTGGTTAATTTCTCTGGTAGTGAGGGATCTACTGTGGCCCACTTGCCTGGCCACCCATGCAGTGTGTTTTCTCTTCCTGTCAGCACCTACCCAGTCTTTGTTTAGGTTTTGCTAACAGCATTGAATATCAAGTGCCTGTGGTGTACCCCGAGCCTGCTCTATTTCAGTCTTCTTTTTATCTCCCCTTCCCCAGCTCATTACTTAAATGCACACATATGTGATTCCAACTTGTGAAGGGGGGAGAGGCCAGGAGGAAAGATACCAAAATCTAGACCTGTGTGAGAAAGGTGAGAGTAGCTAGCTGGTTTTCTGTTCTTTCCAAACATGTTATGTCTATTCATGTCACTACTTGTAACAAAAACAAAAAATCAATAAGCCCTGGCCGGTTTGGCTCAGTGGTTAGAGTGCTAGCCTGAGGACTAGAGGATCCCTGGTTCGATTCCTGTCAAGGGCATGTACCTGGGTTGCAGGCTCCATCCCCACCCCAGTTGGGGGGGAGGGGGCATGAGGGAAGCATCCAGTCAATGTGTCTCTCTCACATCGATGTTTCTCTCTTTGTGTCTTTCCCTCTCCCTTTCACTTTCTAAAAAGAAAAAGTAAAAATATCCTCTAGTAAGGATTAACAAAAAAATTAAAATCAATAAATTTAATCCTCCCTACAAATAATACAGATACTAGAGTTTCAACCCCTGTGAGCCCGGAGGTGGGGGGAGGGTCACTATATCTCAAACCTGATACAATTCCTGAGTAGGCCTGCTAAAACTGCAAAGGGACAGGAAACCAGTGTATTGAGGAAGAGCTTGGGGCTCAGGTGACCAATCTCTGTAATTGTGGCCCAGCATCAGTGTACTTCCGAAATTGGATGCACTTGCAGGACACTGGACCAAGGAACAGGGCAGCTTCCAAGAGCATTTGCTTCCTGTGAAAATCACAGCTTGTGAAACTACCCCAGTTGCTGGAGTGGTAGGTTGTGTAATTTCAGAGAACCTAAAATAAGTTTCGGGCCTCCTGCCAAGCTTCCCTGTACTAACGTGACCTTGCCCCTGATATACTTGGACCTCTTGCAAGAGGCAGTGGTCACTGGGAATTTCCTGTGATTGATGGGCAGGGTCTCCTTAAGCACTTTTCCTGTAATCTCGCCAGAACATACTCAGAGATGGGGTCCCCTCTACTATATCAGATGCAAGAGAGTTGGAGTTAAGAGGATCACCTTATGATGCCACTTTTTTTGATTGAGTCATCGATTACTCCAGTGCCATAAACAGGCATGACTTGGTGCTGGATCTGGAAGACCTGGGGACTGGCTCCCCCAGCAGCCTCATCTTCCCCCTCCTGCCGGCTGGCTGCCCTGCTGTATTGGAATCTGCTGCCCTGCCCCAGTTGTCGAGGGATCTACTCAGTTTGGTGGCACCGGTCCCTGTGTGTGAAAGAGGATGCTGCTTCCTATCCCAGTACCCAGTGGGCAGGGCCCTGAAATGGCCCAACTCCCTGCCGTTCCCCTCTCAGCACGCCTCCATCACGTGGGTCTTAATTCAGCCTCTGCCATACGGTTTGCTCTCAGGCTCTGAGAGGCCCAAGTTTCCCTGGAGGTGCAGAGTCAAGGTCGCCTGGCAAAGCTAGGTTCACCGGAGAAATTTCGCACTCCCACTGGAAGAGCTTTCTGCCCACTCCGGTGTTCAGGACTACAGTGCCTGGCACTTAGTGCCCAGGGGATGTCAGGTGGTGGTGAGAATCTTTCACCATATTAAGGATCTGTCCAAAGCTAACATGAGAAGACCCTTTCCATGCCTTCTTGCTGTCAAGTTATTTCAATTCCTTTAACAACCTATGTCCTTGCAGACCTGGAGTGGAAGATCATTTATGTTGGCTCAGCTGAGAGTGAGGAGTTTGATCAAATCCTAGACTCGGTGCTGGTCGGCCCTGTCCCAGCAGGGAGACACATGTTCGTCTTTCAGGTAAAAAAGGAGGCCTTAGGCTTTGACACCTAGAAACATATCCTCTTCTACCCAAAAGCATACAGCATGGTTTAGTGGTCAAAAACTCAGGTTCAGATCCTCACCCTGCTCTCAAGAACTGTCTGACTTCTCAAAGGTACTTCAGACACCTCCCTTTCCTCCATCTCTGTCATGACTAGTTACCACGAACCACTGATTAACAGGTGATCCTCATTACTCATAGGAGTTATGGTCTGTAAAGCTGTTGTGAACAGTGAATTAGTGAATACTGAACCATGGCCCTATAGGAAATACAGGGTTAGGTTCCTGCATGTCACATTTTTGTCAACCAATCAATACATAACCTTGTTTTAGGTATGTTTAAATACCTCAATTAGTATTATTGTTGATTCATTAACATTGAACTCAGCAGTCGGTGCTAAGGCCCAGGATGTGTTTTCCCTAGGCCGATGCTCCCAACCCATCCCTCATCCCTGAGAGCGACGCCATAGGTGTGACCGTGGTCCTCATCACCTGCACCTACCATGGGCAGGAGTTCATCCGCGTGGGCTATTACGTCAACAATGAGTACCCTGACCCAGAGTTGCGGGAGAACCCGCCCCCAAAGCCAGACTTCTCTCAGGTGGGGTCTCTACGCTCCGTGCTGTAGATTAGCTGGCTCCTTTACATTTGGGGGGAGTTGAGTCATTGGAATCAGGGGCCAAGGTCACTTAAAGTTTTCAAGTAGTGCCGAGAAAGAGAGGTCTTTGTTACTCAGAAGCATGCCTCACAGAATTAAGATTAGATAGATCCTGGCACTAAAGCATGGTGCACAGGCATTCCCTGGAGTCCCACACATATTGTTGGTGATGGAATAAGCAAGGTCTGCTCTTCATGGGCTTGGGGTGAGGGACTGCGGGTGCCCTGGCTTTGTGGGAGTAATGGGAGGGCATGCTGACAGTTGACATTTCTCTTCCTGCCTCAGCTCCAACGGAACATCTTGGCCTCGAATCCCCGAGTGACCCGTTTCCACATTAACTGGGACAACAACACGGACAGGCTGGAAGCCATAGAGAACCAGGATCCCACCCTAAGCTGCAGTCTCCCCATCAACTATACCCCTGTCAAGGGCTTGGGGCTCCCTGGCTGCATCCCTGGCCTCCTCCCTGAGAACTCCATGGACTGCATCTAACTGGGGAACTCCAGACCCTACCTGGGCCCAGCTAGGACTATGGCCAGTCTCCCAACATATCTGGAGGGGCAGTTGGGCCTCCTGGAGAGTCCTATGGGGGCCATCTGGAAGACTTTGGGGCCATCAACTACATTCAGGCCTGTCAAACTTGTCCCTGAGGAAAGATCGGGCCTCAGGTCTCCCAGCCTCAGCCCAGAAGAATTATCTCACCTTTACTGTCCAGGCCTATAAAAAGCAGGTACTTCAGTTCTTAATTCTAACTTGTGTCCTTTCTCTCCTCCACATATAGGCCATTGTGCTCCCATGCTCCCATTTAAGTACCATTGACCCACAGTTCTTCCCACAGACCTCCCTGTCCGGCCTTGAGGCTTTCTTGGTCAGTGGTTCCAGCCCTATTGGGCCAAAGGCTCTGTCATTCCTTTCCCTTCCCAAACATCTGAGTAGATCCACCCAGCTTTCTGGAGTCACAAGGAATCTGGGATAGAAGGTGGACTCGGTCACAATTTCTGTCCTTTTCCCAGAATGTTTTTTAGGTCTTTTCAACCCAGCAACCCCTGGAAAACCCTGTTCCCAAAAGTATGATCAGCAGGATGCTGAGGAATGATGGTTGACTCTCCTCTCAGTCACAACCACCTTCTTGTTACCTCCTAACGATCTGGATTTCCCTGGAGGCTGCCACTGTGCGGAGATCACATATTGGAGCAGCCTGCCGTGCTCTGTCCATCTATGTCGGCATCAGGGCCCCTCTGCTAAGACTTTATGCTCTCACAGGCTACAGAGTGATTGTAGGCATGGGAAACAGTAGGGACCCTGAAAACCTCCCTCCCCCTGCCATACTGTGTCATGTTCCCCATCCCTTCGCTGCTAAGTGGATGCTGTTGGTGATTACAGTTTGTATATTAAAGAGTTTTTATATTAAATATGTTTGGCTGATCTAAAAATGCATTTCATCTAGACTGTTTGTTTCTGCTTTTGTCTTGGGTGGACTGAGGCAGCTTTGTCCATCTTTCCTTGGAACATGGGTGGAGGACCTCTTGCCCTGGCCAGTGGGTTGACTGCCCCTTGTCTCCTTGCTCATCTTCTTGCCCTAGTCCTAATTGGTTGTATAGTTGTAATCCAGGCTGAGATTAGGGAAGGGGTTTTTATTTGTTGAAACAAGCAATGAAGCTGTTGTAGAGCATAACCAACTAGCGATTTTTTTTCATATGTTGACCTTGACCTACAGGAAGAAATAAACATTGTACTCCAAGGACACAGCAACATTTTTATTAAATTTTACTTAACTTTTCTTTGTAACCCCACAGCCAGAGTTGGAGTGATTTGGCTGGTAGCCATTTCCCCATAATTCACATAAGAGCCCCAACTCTTCTCTCCCTGAGACTATGGTCGACCTAGGAACATGGGTACAGACGGCAGCTGGGTAGGATGCAGGTTGTACAAATCTACAGGCAGAGCAGTAAGTCGGCTGGCTTGTAGCCAAAAGACCCCCTAAACCCCTCCAAGTCAAGGAGAGCTGGCTCATCCACTCCCCTGCAGCTCCGACCATCTCCTGTTTGGGCTTTCCTCTGCTTCAGTGTCTCTCAACTGGGGGCAATTTTGCCCCCCAGGGCACATTTAGCAATGTCGAGATGGTTTCAGTTGTCACATCTGGTGGTGGAGGAGATTCTACTGGCATCCAGCAGGTAGAGAAACTGGGAGTGATGCTAAACTT